AAACTCTGAGGAGTAAAAAGCAAAACTGTAGATATATGTTAATCCTTTAAAAAAACCTGCAGTGCTTGCTTTTTTTTTTTTAATGACAATGTCCAGTTTACTGAGCTCCAGCTCACCTGAAAGGAAGTTTTGTGCTGGAAACGAGAGACTGTTGGGTTTTCAGTGGGCGAGTTGAGGACTCCAGACAGACCTACGTTCAGCAGAAACTCTCAGTGATTGCAGTTGGAACTCTGTTGAATAGAGGGTGGCAGCCAAGTAACACTAATTATTTTTGTCTATTTTTGGTTCCCTGGGAGCAAGTAGGTTGTGTTCCCCTCCAAAAGCAAACCAGAGAGCATCAGTAGGCCGGTTTCTGTACGGTCTGACTCCTTTCCTAACTCCAAGCTTTGTGTTGTTGAGCTTCCTGGCCCTGCTCGCCTCTGCCGTCTCTGTTTGCCTAACTGACGTCAAGAGCCTTCCCGTAGGAAAGCGGGGTCTGCAAGATCAGGTTGGCAAGTGCCATTGCAGGCATGGTCTCTGCTTCGTGTTCGGTACGTTTTCTGCTTGGGAGCTTGTTTCCTCCTCCTGTTTCAGCAGCACAGAAGCCTTTCGGTGGCAGCTCTCCGTGCCGCGGCAGTGGGAGGCACGGGCTGGCGGCGTTGTGGCATGGCGAAGGCCTTTGGCTGACTAGCCTCCGCCACCATTTCCCCTCTGTGCCCTGTGTTTTGCTAAGAGCCAGCTGCTTTGTCATTGTCTCCTGAGCGCATCGTGGGAAGAGCTCTGTGGGAGAAAACCAGGAAAAATCCAATAGCTGCAAGATTCCTGCACTGTGTATCATCCCCACGGCGTGTTTGCAATTGAGCAAACATAATCTGTCTGGCAGATTACCGAGTATGCCGTGGCTGCAAGGAAACAGGCCTCTCTTTGACCTATGACTGTATCTATGTGCAGTGTTAAGTGTATTTAGTTAGAGATCAGTCATGGATTTGTCACAGTTCCTCATCACGGAGCGATCTCCCTTTCGCTTGTGGTGTCGTCCAAGGAGACATGCCCCTGCCGCTCCTCTGCCCGCCGTAGTTGTGCCCTTCGGCAAGTAGAGCAGCGAGCCAAGGCCCTGCCACTGGATGTCCCTTCCCTGCCAGCCATGGAAGGGCACAGCGGCGGCGGGGGAAGAGAAGCCATTGCCCCCACAGCATCTTTTCCCACCACGCTGGAGCTGGCACGGAGGAGCCGGGCGGCATGCAAAGTTCCCTTGCCACTTGCTTCCAGCGAGTCCTCGGCACTGCCGACACGGCTACAAAAGAAATCATGCCACGTGTACGAAACCGAAAGCTTTTCATACTACAATTTGTTCTTTCCTACCCCTGAGGCCTTTGTTAGCAAACAAGATGCCAGTGTTTGAGGGGAGAGACAATGGTGTGGTTCAGCTCGCGCTGTGAAGGCATGCTGGAAACGGCGCAACAGCTGAGTCGCCCTCTCCCTGCCTCCTGCCCTTTAATGTTATTAGTCTGGTTCAGTGACATTTATTTTGCTGTAAATGCCCAATTTGCTATACCCTACATGTGTTTTACAAAGAGACTAGTAAACTAAAATCATATGTTATGCAGAAATCCTTTGGTCTGAAAATGCAGACAACCCGTATTTGCCTTTTAGCCTTCACCAGCTTAGACTTTCGGTGACAACCAGCAATAATATTTTTAGCCGCTGATGTTCTCCTCCTTAGCTGCAGGTTAACTTGCTAACTTGATCAAGTTAAATCTCTTTAAATGCTCTTTAAATGAGTTGACACCACGTGCAGTAAATTTTGTATTAAGAAAAAGAAAATGGATGAAAGAGGGCACTGGGGTTGGCCTCTGATATCAGTACGTTGGAACTGGTTGCTGCTGAGAATTTGTCATTCCTGATATATTTAGAGAAGGAAGGGATTATATATGGAGTCCAGCTCATCTCAGTTTTATAGCACCATTTTAGACACCAAACCTGGTAGGGCTTTGTATGATTGTGCTTCTTAAGAGGACACACTCGCTGTTGGCCTTCTGTACACATCCTGTGTTTGCAAGGGCTCCCATTAAACAACTGTCTAAACAGGGCCCAACAAGGCAGAAAAAGCAACCTAGGGGATAAATAAAATTTCATATATGATAAACAGTAAATACTGATCTGTCTTAGTCATATGAACTGTTTTGGCTGAGTTCTTCTCCTCCAAGTCTATTAAGTTTAATGCTTCTGTGCAAACACTCAGAGTTTCCATTAAATATAGTACTGTATGTCTAATCCCAGGATGACACTCTGATATTCCAAAAATAGTTTGATGATAAGTAGAAATTCCAAGATGTATCATCATAAGCCTGTAGCTTGAGTATCAAATCTGCCATGTTATGTAAAAAATATTGGTTGTATAATGGGATTTTTATCAGTCTAGTGACATAAATACAAATATTAGAGCATTATTAGGAAACCGACCTCTCTCTGACTTTGGATCTGTTACGCCAGAAGTCAGAGAGGAAGTTGCTTGTGCATCTATGGGGATGCAGATGCTGTAGCTTCAGAGGTGTCTAACAACTCAGAGCTAGTTTGGGAGTTTTGTTCCAGATTAAATACAAATACCTTTAAAATGGTACTGAGGAAAGAAACTGAGTGTGACAAGAACTTCAAGCTGCTCCAAAGTTTCCTTTGTGATGGCCCAAACTGAAGCCACTGCCACTGATGGGGTCAGAAATGTCCCTAAACTCAGTGCCCCTTGTCTCCTGAAATACTTTGAGAGAGAACTGGGGAGATATTGTCTGTCTTTGTCTGCTGGAAAGCAGATAAAGGTCCTGAGCTGGCAGAAATTGGGACTTACTAGCGGGAGGACATATGGAAGAGCAGCAGGGATTTCCTCCAGGCAGAGGAACGTTCCTACACGCACCACAGATAGTTGTCACCGGTGGTCAGATAACAGTGCTGAACCCTGGGGAAAGGCCAGGCAGGCAGCAACTGCTCGAGGAGCAATGGGGTTGTGTGGAAATCCTCCCTATCGGGGAGCAGAAGCTTTGGAGTATGGGAGCACCTAAAAAGAGGTGCTGTGAGTTACCTGGAAAAGAAAGAAATTAAGTATGCTATCCATAGAAGTAAGTGCATCATATTATAACTGCGAAGCTGATTTTGCAGGTTGCACAACTTCTTAAAAACCCTAAGTAGGGCACTATCTGAAATTGCACGGCCTGATGTTACTGACAGCCAACCATCTGTCCCCACGGGCTTTCAAATCAGGAGAACATCACTTTTATTAAGAGCAGGCAGCGTATACGGTGGAGGTTTTAGTGAGTGAATTAGATGAACCTGCTGACTTTTCAGCCTGAGGTAAAAGCAGACTGAAAAAAGAGAGGCAAGTTCAACTTCACAAGTTAACATAAGAGAATGAAATACTTTCATTTCCCATATTTTCTGGGTATGTTGAAGTGGAGCAGACTGTATAAGGCTGATGTGGTCTTTAGTTTCTCTAGTTCAAAGAGGCAGTTTTCCCACTAGTGCTGGTAACCCCCCCAGTTTGCTCTGTCGCAGCATCTTGAGCATTAGACACACCTTGGAAAATTAAATCTCACAGTGCTCTGCCGAGCAGGTTACTCCTGTCCTCTTCTTATGGCTGAAGAATGGGAATATTCACTAAGGGAGGAGCAGAGGGGAGCTGGAGGGAGGGAGGCAGGTGGGGAGGGAGCACTGAATGTGCTTCCCAGGAGATGCTCAGGGTCACACATCTTTTGTGTCTTGGGAGGGGGAATTACCTGCCTGTAACGAAGGGAATCAGGTCCCCAAAGTAACTCTGCAAGCTGTAGCGTGGACCGGTCAGGGTCCAGATCCCTCCTGTCCCTGGGCTTTAACTAGAAATCAGTTTCCCCTGCCCCAAACCTATAGATGCACGTAACCAAAGCAAAGGACCACTGCTCTTGCTACCTCGCAGACCCTGTTCTGCAAACAGGGCTGTGCACATGGGCTTCCTACCCCCATGTGAAGCTCCCCTCCCCTGCTGCCTTCACTCCAGCACTGCTCAGGGCTTGGGGGTTTCGTAGCCTGCATCGTCCCAGCTGGGCTTTCAGCTTTCCCTGACAGTGGGCTAGCTCCGTGCTACCAAGTGCACACTGACAAAATGCTCTAGTTTAAAACATGGCATAAAAGTGCTACGAATGCTTGGAGTGCTGCTGGAAACATGGCATAAAAATGCTACGAATGCTTGGAGTGCTGCTGGATTTTCCCCCTTGTTCAGGATATGAAAAAAAAAAAAAAAAAAAAAAAGATTTTTAGCCCTGTAAGATTAAACAATCATGGTTTTAACGGCTTAATCTGCTGGCATGCAGACTGCTGGCCGGTAAGTCTCTGAGTCTGAGTGTAATTGGATGCAGCATCAGATTCAGTTGTGTGGGCTTTCCCGGGGCTATTTGTTTGTTTGTTTGTTCATTTTTAAAACACTGCAGAGTTGAAGCGATCTGTCCCTGGAAATACCTTTGGGTGTGAAGCTGTAACGCCGTCCCCCTGGCCAGTGTTTCAGCAGCACCTAGCTGGAGACCACCGCTTGGGGAGGGTTGGGGTGGGGGGGAAGGTTGCTCAGTGTATGAATTCGAGCTATTGTTCGAGGCACACATCTGCCTTAAGAAATCGCACGGCACAGGCCGTTACTTATTCAGATGCAGAAGCTCCTTCCGTCCCACAAGACGGCCCATTCAAGTCACATGCCAGAGATCTCAGCAGAATGGGCTGCAGCTGCTTCAAATCTGCTGTCTAACATCAGAAGCAGTTGGACAAACTGTACCGTACTGACTACAGTCAGGCTCCCAGGCGCTGAGGAAGACAGGGAAAAGATTTGGGATCCCAGCGCTATGTTCTCAGAGGATCTGTGGCTGGAAAATGAGAAAACCTGTGCCGTTGTTCACAAGTCGAAGCGAGGAAGGAAGCGCCAAGAGCTCCTGGCCGTGGCCCTGGGGGTGAAGGTGGGAGTCAAGGGGGCACTTTTGTGGCAACCTCTGAAACTCTTTGCCTATTCGCAGATCACCTCCTTGGTCAGAAGAGCAGCCTTAACTCAAAACGACAACCACTTCAACTATGAAAAAGCACACAATTTTAAGGTAAGCACAACTTCCTATTCTTTTCGGCTAAAAAGTTCTGTTTAGATGCCTCACATTTAATTTTTTGCGGTGATGGGGTTTTCATGCACCCATCTGTACTAGCTCTGAGAAAAGCATTGAAAAAAGCATTTTTCTCAAATACTTTAAGTTCCCTTGACTGCATTTTTAATATGCTTTTACATAGGCACTGAATCCAGGTAACGGTTTTGCTACTCGCTACACTACTCGGCTGGCATTTTAGCTCTTTTTGCCTAGATTCAGTTTTCTTTTTTGTTCAGAAACAAAGTACATCGTATTGATTGTCTTTATCTTAAAGTGTATCTGTGTATAAATGAGAAAAAGGGACCTTTTCAATATCTAGCTATTCTCAGAATAGTAGCATTTTACCAGCAAGCATTTTGGACCTCTTCTGTTTTCAGAAGAAGTTGAGGGAGCTGGGGTTCTCCCTAACAACGAAGGAGAGCACAGCGGTGGTATTGTCTCCTAGCTTTTGTTCCACCACCGTATGCTAAGGAAATGCTCTCAGAGTCCCACTGAGCTCTAGGATCTGAGCTTGTGTTTGCTTGTCAAACTAAACCAAATAGCTGGACAAACACAGGGATGTTTAAATGGATCATCTTTTTGCTGTCTTATACATACAAAATCCGATTCTTAGGGTTTTTTTTCCCCAAGTGCTGTGTCTGGCATGCTGCAGCAGGGAAGTGACTCAGCTTTGGAAAACAGAGCTTCCAGGCAGCTTGTACTAAAATGTTTTGCCAAAAGGACTGTGCTGGTTTCAGAGTATGCCAGCCAGTTACCGTATCTAATGCTGTCAAATTGCAGCTTGATGCTTATCGGGATGGATATAGAGAGAATAAGAGGCAGTAACAAGACAAGAAAGGAATGCATCTCAGCTTTGAAACCTCAGTTTACTTAATGCTCCTTGAGGATGCTGATCTGGGTCACTGTCAGAATAGTTCAACTCATTAGCAGAAAGAGAATTTTTCTGATATTTGTCTCAGGCTTGTCAAAAAAGGAGAAGCACTGATTAAGATTATTTCACCAATTTTGTGATTTAGCAGAAAAGCTTCACTTCTTATTTTTCTACATATTCTGCCATGCAGACATTGCTCTTCTCTGCAGTGCTTCTGCTGTAGTTGGTAAATCAATAATTTAATTTTAGCAAGCAAAGCAAATAATAGCATCCCTCTTCTCATTCCCCCTCCTTGACCCAGTCTACAGAAAAGTCAATATTTATCTCACTGATCAGCACTGAAGGAAATAGGGGAAATGGTCTGTGTTTTCTTGCTTGATTAAACCAGCTTTCATTCTCTCTGGGTTTTGCCTTCATTATCATTTTAATATCAAAACTATTTTAGTTTAACTAGAAAATATTTTCTCATGACTGAGACTTTTTTCCACTTGACCCATGCATTCTTTCCTCTTCAAAATTCCCCTTGTTTTGGCTTTGATTTATAATTGGACATGTGCCCGGTTAACTTTGCATTTGCACAATCTAGCTGTTGTACAGTCTCTGTTCCTTTCTGTTTCAGAAGAGTCACAGTTTAACTGGAAAATCACATGATTAAAATATGTATGTATTCAAAAGCTTGACAGCAGAAAATTACTGTTTTATCCTAGTAAAGACAGTAAAAAACTTAGGGAAGAAACATTAAAAAAAAATAAATTGTCCAGAAAGGCCAGTCAAAAGTTTTACATTTACTTAATGAACAAATATGTTCACTATGCAAATACAGTTAATTTTCCAAAGGAGTATATTAAAACATGTCTAGTTGAACAAAAAATGTGGATAGAATGCCTAGAGTAGAATATTTAGATTTAAAAGACAGCTAAATTAAAATCTAGTATCTTTAGTATATTCCATATTCATTGCATAAAAGGGTTAAGAAATTATTTAAAAGAGAAAGAATGGCTTTATAGGTCTTGGGGCAAAATCCTTAATGACTTTTGACAGCACTCAGGCTATGATGATACGGGATTTATCTGAAGGAGAAGGCGATTTTGCAGACATTCAAAGAGTTGTCTTCCCCATTTTTAAGTGAATGTTGATGTGTATTGTATCATTCGCCTCAGTTCATAGGGACAAAGGTTATGTGTCACAGTGTCCATCATAATCTTGTCACAGGCAATTCTTCATGAACAAACAGACACTCTTTAGCTCTTGTCCTTTAGCCATGAAGAATTTTTAAAATGAAGGGCACGTTTTTAGGGAAGCTGATGAGATTTTTTTAGATCTTACACCAAAGATCTTATCTACTAGAAGAGAGAAGGAAGAAACAGACTCAAGGCAGAAATTCAGAGCAAGGATGGATCTCGCTCCATCCTTTCCAAGCTAATACAAAAATTAAAAAGAAGTGCTGGAGTTTGGCAAGTGAGGGTGCCAGGTTATGCCATTCTGAGCATCCATGCCTTCTCCTTCAGCCTCTCTTCCAAATTTCAAGGCACTCAAGGCAAACAAACAAAAAAAGACTCAGGATCCAGACTGATTTGTTAAATGGGCTTCATCCTGAGCACACAACACAGTCACATGGATTTAGGTTTGGAGCTGGCGTCCGTCTGGCGGGACAACTTTGCGTAAGCCAGTGTAGACATACCGTAATTCAGGAAAGAGAATAAATCTCTGAAGCCCTGTTTAGAAAAACACAGAGGTATTTCTGGAACTATGTCGGCGTCAGCCTAACTGGATTGCAAAGTCCTCTTGCATCTTGTTACAGTTAGGATCCAGCAGGTTTGGGGGCTGCACTTTACCTGCCAACTGCAGTGGGGTCCCAGCTGGTGCTGAGGTCACCTCGTGCCCGAGGGCAGCAGCGTGGAGTTTGGGGATGCTCCACATGTTTTGTTCTAGGCTGGGAATTCACAAGAGAGCCTCTGTGCTGCTCAAAAGTGAGCAAATACAGCTGAATAATGTGCTTTTACCATGATACTGTGCCTGTTTGCCACTGTAGGCATGGGCAAATCCCGTTTGCAGGCGGGCTAGTGGAGCAGAGGCAGCTGATTGCTGAAAAGTCAGAAGATCTGCTGGGAGAAAGGAGGCTCTGGGATAAATTTCCCCTGGTGTTAATCACTGCAGACAAACACTGGGAGACAAAGGGTTTAGGGGAGACATTTTTTACAGACATCAAGAAGATTATGTGTATGTATTTAAACAAAAATAACAGCAGAGTCAGCTTTTCCTCCCTGCAAAGAG